AATTTAGATTTTTTTAATTCATTTAATATATTTATTAAATAACATGTAAAATATCAAAATATTGAAATTAAAAGTACATTGTTTAATAAAAATTTGTAAATGTTATAATAAAATAATTATGAAATTACAATGTTGTAATAAGAAAGTCACGTTATTATAATACATGTGGACAGCCTACGTGGACAATGAGGTGACATGGAAACCTGATATAATGAGTAAATTTAAATCAAAAAGTTACCCAATGCTATAATGGGTAAATTTTTCAAAGTACAATGTTCTTAAAAAAAATGTTTGAAAGTACATTGCTGTAATAAGAAAAATTGGAAGTACAATACTATAATAAAGAAATTTATAAAAATAGATTGCTATTTTGTGCATTTTGCCATTTAAATAAACGGGTCAACCCGTCCAACCCATTTAAATAAATGGGTTGGGTTATGTTGAATTTTTTGACCTGTTTTTAACCCATTTAAAATATTATATAATTTTATTTTATTATTAATATTATATCTAGTATTTTAATTTTTTATTTTGTTTTATTCTTAATTAAAAATTCCTACCGTCATGAGATGAAACTCCAAATTTCAATCACCTCCATTACTCTTAATCATCATGAACCCTAAGAAAACCCTTTAATCCATTACTCCAATATTGTAATACCCCCAATCTCACATTGCATATATAACACATATTTCATACATAGGATACATGTTAAGTCCACAAAGGTCTATAATACAAGAGACTATGCTATAAAATATACAACTCAAAAATTTCAAAAGTACATGCTCTAGTGTCTTAACATCTATTCTTCAAAACATGACTAATAAAGATCTTCATACAGCTAAACACTTACGGAAATAATCATAGAATGTTCTTCCCCTTATTATCATTACCTGCACACATATTTTGAAAACACAGATGAGGGTTAGATATGAATGTCTAGTGAGATTCCCTTTTTATGTAATGCATGGTGTAGAGCACCAAAACATTTATTTAAAATATACCATTCTGAAAATCAAAAAATAAAATCACATTCTGTTCGAGTCCATCGAGCCTCTGGTTCCAATAACCATACTTAGAAATGTTTTACTAATCAGGACCAGAGCCCCTCTGGTTTCTTTACCAGAGCCTCTGGTTCTTCGACTAGAGCCTCTGGTTGTACTAACTAGAGCTTCTTGTTTAAGTAATTTCTCATAATATTCCTTGACTTAACTTTGTAAATAATGAAATAGCTTTTCCATAACTAAATATGATTAAAAGAGTTCATGTTTGACGAGAGCCTCTGGTTGTATTAACCAGAGCTTCTGGTTCAAAAGTCATGAC